GAACGACTGCTCAATGCCCTCCTGCTGACAGAAGGCCTCCAAGAGGCTAGAGGAAAACTCTCCACCTCTGTCAGAGTGCAGACGCAGGACAGGGAAGTCGGAGCGGAAACGCTCACTAAGCTGGAGACGAGATCTGCGGATCCAAGGGATCAAGACATCAGGGACGTCACCCTTGGTGCGCAAGGGGAAGACCGTGGTGTAGCGCGAAAAGTCGTCAACAACAATCAGGAAGTACCTCTCCTGACCCTGACCACGGACGCGGGCTGGGCCCCACACGTCCATGTGGAGCGTCTGCAAAGGAGCAGTCGTCGGGGGAAAGGAGGAGGAGTGAGGAGCGGCGCGCTGCCGCCCCTCGACACAGGGAAGACAGGGAGGAGCAGGCGAGTCGGGAAGGGGAGGGAGCACCCTGGGAAGACCAGCAACAAGGTCCCGTTTGTGCATGGCCCGAAGGCGCTGCACAGACGGGTGACCAAGGCGGTGGTGCCAAAGGACAGTCTCATGCGCCAGAGAGCGACACGAGCAGGGGGCGGACAGCTGACCTAACGCAGACGCAGACGCAGCTACCTGAGGGGACTCAGTGGTCAGTGTGTACAGGTCCGACCCCGGCTCTCGAGTGAAAGTAGCCAGGTGACGACCCGTCCGAGCACACGTGCAGTGTGTCACGCGCTCGTAGGCAGGGGTGAACTGGTGAACACCCGAGTCCTGGAGCGCACAACCCGCCACCAAGTTCGTAGAGAACGAGGGGAGGTAGAGACCTGACAGCGTGCCGGACGGGACCGCAGGACAAGGAAGGACAGTGGAGGAGGTCGCAATGACCGGACCCCCAGAGGGGTCAGCAAGGGAGACAGCAACTGGCCGAGCGAGTGGCTCAAGGACAGTGCGGTCACGAAAGAAAGAGCGAGAAGCACCTGAGTCCAGGGTGAAGGTGTGCAGTGCTGCAGTCGACTCAGTACCAGGGGGCACAGACGCACTAGCACCTAGGGCAGCAGCCTCACCATCACCTGGGGTAGCAGACACGCGAGCACCTGGAGCGGCAGACGCACTAGCACCTAGAGCAGTAGGCTCACCAGCACCTGGAGTAGCAGACACGTGAGTACCGGGAGTGGTAGCCTCACCTGCACCGAGGGCAACAGACGTACTGGCACCGAGAGCGGCTGCCTCACTCACAGAGCGACTACCACTACGGCCACCCCGACTGCTCAAACCGGCGTACCACTCACGAGCCTGCTGGAGCAGAAGAGGGCACGGCTGCTGCACCTGTCCACTACCTGAGGCTCCCGAACGACGGACGCCAGAGCGACTACCACTACGGCCACCCCGACTGCTCAAACCGGCGTACCACTCACGAGCCTGCTGGACCAGAAGAGGGCACGGCTGCTGCACCTGTCCACTACCAGGGGCTCCCGAACGACGCACGCCAGAGCGACTAGCGACCACGTCGGCCACCCCGACTGCCCAAACCGGCGTACCACTCACGAGCCTGCTGGAGCAGAAGAGGGCACGTCTGCTGCACCGGTCTACTACCAGAGGCTCCCGAACGACGCACTCCAGAGCGACTACCACTACGGCCACCCCGACTGCCTAAACTGGCGTACCACTCACGAGCCTGCTGGAGCTCCATCTGGCCACGGCAGGAGCAGCAGCAGTAGTGGCAGCAGGAGCAGTGACAGTGGGAGGAGCAAAGGCAGTAGTAGCAGTAGTAGCGGGAGTAGTGCTGGCAGGGCAAAGCTCACCAGTGGTAGGCGCGGAGGGCACAAGACGGTGGGGACAGCGGGGCCGCAGCAACTGCGGGGCAGGGCCAGGTCGCAGCAGGGATCTCCACGGCAGCTGCTGCAGGGTCGGCGGCGGCAGCTGCTGTAATCTCAGCGGCGGCTGCTGCCGCAGAGTCGGCGGCGGCTGCTGCTGGAGGCTCGGCGGCGGCAGCTGCTGCAGGTCGAGCGGCGGCTGCTGCTGCAGGCTCGGCGGCTGCAGCTGCTGCAGGTCCGGAGGCGGCCACTGCTGCAGGCTGGGTGGGGGCCGCTGCTGCAGGTCCGGCGGCGGCTGCTGCTGCAGGCTCGGCGGCGGCAGCTGCTGCAGAGGCGGTGACGGCAGCTGATGCAGGGTCGGCGGCGGCAGTTGAGGCAATCGCAGCGGCGGCAGCTGCAGCAGCGCCCCAAAAACCCTAAAACGGGTGGGGTAAGGGGGAGGAGTGCGGGGGATGGCGAGGGGGGAAGGCGCGCGACCCCAAGGCGCCAGAACGGTCGGGTGGGCGAGGGGGGACGCGTGCGCGACCCCCGAGGGCGCCGCGACGACCGGGCGGGGCACTCGCAGGCTCCTGAGGGCGTCGCGACGGTCGGGCGGGGCGTTCGCGGGCTCCCCAGTGCATCGCGACGGACGGGCGGGGGGTCCGCGGGCTCCTTAGGGCGTCGCGACGGACGGGCGGGGCGCTCGCGGGCTCCCCAGGGCGTCGCGACACTCGTTCGGGGCGCGCGCGGGCAGCTAGCGGGTCGCACGCGTGAGAACACGGGCTGCGCGCGGGCGGCTAGCGGGTCGCGCGCGCTAAGAAGGAAGCTGGCCGCGCGTGGGTGGCTAGCAAGCCGTGCGCGCGCGGTAGGGAGAGGCGCACGAGGGCGCGAGGGCGCACGAGGGCGCGAGGGCGCACGAAGGCGCGCGGTAGGGATTGGCGCACGAGGGCGCGAAGGCGCACGAGGGCGCACGGTAGTAGGTAGGAGGCGCACGAGGGCGCGAGGGCGCACGAGGGCGCGCGGTAGTAAGAGGCGCACGAGGGCGCGAGGGCGCACGAGGCGCACGGTAGGTAGGTAGGTAGGTAGCGGTGGGCCCTAAGAACGGTCCTAGCGATGGACCTGCTCTGATACCATGTCAGAATCCCAGTCACTAACCACTGGGATAAAAGGGCTTGTTTATATAGCGGGTGAGTGCGCCCATAACCCCCCAGGCCGACGTGCCTGTAACCCTTCCCTAGGATCATCGGGGATCCCCAGTGGACCTCTGACAGAGGAGCCTGCCCAAGAACCTGCTGAAGGAGCGGGACGAAGTACGGTCGCGGCCGCGCAGGGTCTCCAGAAGCAGAAGAGACTCCAGCGGCCGGGTCCTCAGTACCAGTAGGAGCTCCAGCGTCCGGGTCCACAGCACCAGCAGCAGCTCCACCGCCCGGGTCCTTAGCACCAGCAGCAGCTCCAACGTCCGGGTCCTCAGCACCAGCAGCAGCGCCAACGTCCGAGTCCTCAGCACCAGCAGCAGCTCCACCAGGCGGGTCCGCAGCACCAGCAGCAGCTCCAACGTCCGGGTCCTCAGCACCAGCAGCAGCGCCACCCCCAGGGTCCGCAGCACCAGGAGCACCACTCCGAAGACTGCAGCGCCGTGTGTACCACTCGCGGATCTGCTGAATGGGGGGGAGCTCCTAGGTAGGAGGGGAAGTACCGGGACGAGCTCCAGCAGCACCTCTCCGGAGGCGGCAGTACTCGAGGTACCTCTCCTGCAGCTGCTGGGAGGAGAGGGCTCCTCCAGGTGTAGCACGCTCAGGCTCAGCACCCCCAGACTCAGCACCCCCAGACTCAGCACCTCCAGGCTCCGCACCTCCAGGCTCAGCACCCCCAGGCTCCGCACCCCTAAACGCAGCACTCCCAGGCTCAGCACCCCCAGACGCAGCACCCCCGGGCTCAGCACCCCCAGACGCAGCACCCCCAGGCTCAGCACCCCTAGACGCAGGACGAGAGTCAACAGCTACCTCGACAGGCTCACCCGGGTCTACCTGGGACACACCTGAGGGAGCGGCACCCTGAGGGGGGAGGGGGTCTGGTACCTCTGCACCTGGAGCGAGGAAGAGAGGCGGGGGGGGGAGCGGGGCAGTGCGGTAGGGGAAGAGGCGGTAGTAGGGGACGGACTCGTCAAAAGTGACGTCCTGAGAGGCCAGGACACGCCGCGAGGTGACGTGGTAGAACTGCCAGCCAGGGGCGTCCGGGACAAAGCCAAGGAAGACGCAGGGGACAGCGCGACGGGAGAGCTTGTCCGCGGACGTGTCGCGGACAAAAGCTCGGGATCCCCAGACCCGAAAACGCGACGCATCGCCAGCCTCTCCCGTCCAACGCAGTGTCGGAGAAGTCTCGGGCAAGGAGACACGGGGCCAGAGGTTGAGCTGATGCGCAGCGTATCGGACTGCAAACGGCCACAGAAAATGGGGGGCAGCCGCATGGCTCAAGGAGGTACGAGCGACCTCCATGACCAGACCAATGCGGCGCTCAGCAACCCCATTCTGCTGTGGAGAGGCCGGAAGCGTGTACGACTGCTCAATGCCCTCCTGCTGACAGAAGGCCTCCAATAGGCCAGAGGAAAACTCCCCACCTCTGTCAGAGTGCAGACGCAGGACAGGGAAGTCGGAGCGGAAACGCTCACTGAGCTGGAGACGAGATCTGCGGATCCAAGGGATCAAGACATCAGGGACGTCACCCTTGGCGCGCAAGGGAAAGACCGTGGTGTAGCGCGAGAAGTCGTCAACAACAATCAGGAAGTACCTCTCCTGACCCTGACCACGGACGCGGGCTGGGCCCCACACGTCCATGTGGAGCGTCTGCAAGGGAGCAGTGACCGGGGGAAAGGAGGAGGAGTGAGGAGCGGCGCGCTGCCGTCCCTCAACACAGGGAATACAGGGAGGAGCAGGCGAGTCTGGAAGGGGAGGGAGCACCCTGGGAAGACCAGCAACAAGGTCCCGTTTGTGCATGGCCCGAAGGCGCTGCACAGACGGGTGACCAAGGCGGTGGTGCCAAAGGACAGTCTCATGCGCCAGAGAGCGACACGAGCAGGGGGCGGACAGCTGACCTGACGCAGACGCAGACGTAGACGCAGACGCAGCTACCTGAGGGGACTCAGTGGTCAGTGTGTACAGGTCCGACCCCGGCTCTCGAGTGAAAGTAGCCAGGTGGCGACCCGTCCGAGCACACGTGCAGTGTGTCACGCGCTCGTAGGCAGGGGTGAACTGGTGAACACCCCCGTCCTGGAGTGCACTACCTGCCACCAAGTTCGTAGAGAACGAGGGGAGGTAGAGACCTGACAGTGGAGGAGGTGGCAATGACCGGACCCCCAGAGGGGTCAGCAAGGGAGACCGCAACTGGCCGAGCGAGTGGCTCAAGGACAGTGCAGTCACGAAAGAAAGAGCGAGAAGCACCGGAGTCCAGTGTGAAGGTGTGCAGTGCTGCAGTCGACTCAGTACCAGGGGGCACAGACGCACTAGCACCTAGGGCAGCAGCCTCACCAGGACCTGTGGGAGCGGACGCACTAGCACCTAGAGCGGCAGCCGGACTGGCCTGAATGCCCGGGTCGGGCGGAACACGCAAGTACTGAGCACCCTCTCCACTAATAGACATCGCATACATGGCAGTGAGAATAGCATCAAAGTCTAGAGCCCAAATATCAACACCCCTCTTTTCCAGCTCAGCCCAGCGCGGCAGCTCAGTGGCAGTAGGAAACTGGGTGCGCCACGCGTCGTTAAGGCGCGCGAAGCAGCGCTGCGTGGGGTGCGGCCTCCCACACTGCTGGCCGCTGCGGTCACCTGTGCGAATAACGTACGTGCAGGTAAAGCCACGCTGCGCATACCACTCACGGGCGGCCTGAAGCGTCGGGGCGGGCTGCTGACTCTGCCCTCCGCTAGTGCCTCCACGACCACCACCCCCACCGCCTCCGCCCCGGCCACCTCCACCCCTGCCGCCACCACGACCACCTCCGCCCCCGCTGCCGCCTCCGCCCCTGCCACCACTCCCGCCGCTGCTGTCTCCTCCCCCACTGCCGCCACTGGCCTCCTCAGCCGCGCCTCCACTCCCACCGCCTCCACCCCCACCTCCTCCGCCGCCACCCCCACCCCTGCCCCCCTTGTTCCTGCGGCGCCCGCTCGAAGCAGACGCGGTCCCGACCTTCTCAGCACCGAGGAGGTCGACAGCAGCAGCAGAGGCGACAGAGGGGAGGAGGGGGGAAGGGGAACACCCCTCAAAGAACGGGGTGCGAGGGTCGCCACGAGAGGTGCCTACAGCAACGATGCTCGCCTCAGCTGCAAGCAGTTCCTTCTCGAGGAGGGCAACAGTGAGCTCAGTGGGGGAGCGAGAGAGGAAGTGGTCCCTGACTGCGCGCAGAGAGTCAGGGAGGCGGGTGACGATGTGGTAGAGAGTGATCCAGAGCGAGGGGGGGTTGCTAGTGAGAAACTCGGCAGGCATAGCAGCGCGAAAGCGGGCCTCACTAGTCTTAAGGTGGGTGATGAGGTCTGCGACAGTGTGAAAGGAGGCTAGGTCGGGGAACAGGTAGGGAAGAGTGAGGCGGCCTAGCGTGGCAGAAGCGGGTGAGGAGTAGCGGGCAACTACAGCTGTGTAGAGGTCCTTAGCAGTCTTGCACTGGCCGAAGTGCTCGCGCTCGTCTAGCGGCAGGGAGTTGCGAATAGCAAAGCGAGCGTGCGCATCACGGGTCTGCCACTGGGAACGCAGAGTGCTGTCAGCAGACGAGTCAGGGGCAGTGGCATGGCCTAGGGCGTGGTCGTACAGTGAGATATCTTCCTTGGCAGTGAGCTGTAAGAACAGGTGCAGGTCATCTAGCCAGGTTTCGAACTTCACCGGACGGCCCTCGGCATCGAAAGCTAGAACGGGAGGACTAGCCATAGCGACAGTGGCAGCAGTGTGCGCTGGAGGTAGAAAATAAGCAACAGTGAGAGCGAGTGCCTCGCGGGCGGCGGCTGCAGAAGCGCACGGGCGGCAGCGGCGCACGGGGAACAGCGGTGCACGGGCAGCGGCGGCGCACGGGCAGCGGCAGTGTAGGGGCAGCGACGACGCACGGGCAGCGGCGGCGCACAGGCAGCGGCGGCGCTCGGGAGGCAGCGGTGCGCAAGCAGCAGCGGAGGCAGCGGCGTACTAGCGGTTGCGGGCAGCGGGGCGTGCGCGAGCAGGCGACGGGCGGCTGCGGGGCGTGTGCGAGCAGGCGACGGGCGGCTGCGGGGCGTGCGCGAGCGGCTGCAGGCAACGGGCGTGCGGCACGCGAGTGGCGCTGGCGGTGCGCGGGCCGGCAGCGGGCAGCACGCAGGCCGCGCGGGTGAAGTGCGGGCTGCGTGGGTCGGTAGCGGGCGGTGCGCGGGCCGACGAGGCCGCTAAGGGGCGAGCGGCGGGGTCGTTCGAGGCGCTAAGGGGCGGCGCGACGGGGCCGTGAGGGGCCTCTAGGTCAAATGCGACGGGGCCGCGGGGCCGAAAAAAAAAAAAATAATGAAGCGCTCGAAGGCGCTACGGGGGAGGCGCTAAGAACGCGCTCCGGTAGTAGGTAGGTAGGTAGGTAGGTAGGTGGGCCCGAAGGACGGTCCTAGCGAAGGACCTGCTCTGAAACCATGTCGAAATAACAGACTGGAATGACTGTACTAACAGAAGGTTGGATACAAATAGGAAACCCTAATCTAGTGTACCCCCTAAGGTGTAACCCACTACAGCCTACAATCATATAAACATATAATGTTTGACAAGCTGCTGTGGTGAGAGAGGCTCTGGCCGACGAGACCGCTGTGGCGAGGCACCTGTAGGACCTCCATACCAAACTCAGTACCCTATGGGCTCGACACTCCTAGGCTCAGCACACCTAGGCTCCGCAATCCAAGGCTCAGCACCCCCAGGCTCCGCACTCTCAGGCTCAGCACCCCCAGGCTCCGCACCCTCAGGCTCAGCACCCCCAGGCTCCGCACCCTCAGGCTCAGCACCCCCAGACTCAGCACCTCTAGGAACACCACCCCCAAGAGCACCAGAGTCGACAGCAACAGGCCGCAGAGGCGGCGAAGACGGTTGAGGTAGAAAACCCGGAGGGGTCTCCAAGCGTGGTGAGTGGCCAGGGGCCGCCGCGTCGTCAGCAGCAACATCACCCCCCCTCAGCTGGACCAGAGGTGTCGGAAGTGACCTTGAAAGGCTCAGCCAAGGGGAGTGGGTCTACCTGAGACACACCTGAAAGAGCAGGACCTTGAAGGGGAGGGGGTCTACCGGAGGGGGACCAGGAGCGAGGAAGAGCTACGGGGGGGGGGGGAGAGGGGTAGTGCGATAAGGGAAGAGACGGCAAAAGGGAACCGACTCGTCAAACGTGACGTCCTGAGAGGACAGGACACGGCGCATGGTGGGGTGGTAAAATTGCCAGCCAGGCGCGTCAGTGGGAAAGCCAAGGAAGACATAGGGAATGGCGCGGGAGTAGAGCTTGTCTGCGGAGGTATCGCGGATAAAGGCACGAGAGCCCCAGACCCGGAAAAACCGGCACATCGCCAACCTCCCCCATCCAACGCAGTGTAGGCGAGGTCTCCGGCAAGGAGACACGGGGCCAGAGGTTGAGCTGATGTGCAACGTACCAGACCGTAAACGGCCACAGAAATTGGGGAGCAGCTGCATGGATCATGGAGGTATGAGCCACCTCCATGACTAAGCCAATGCGGCGCTCAGCAATCCCATTCTGCTGTGGGGAGGCCGGAAGCGTGAACGACTTGAGAAAACCCTCTCCACGACAAAAGTCCCACAGGAGGTCGGAGGAGAACTCACCACCCCTGTCAGAGTGCAAACGCAGGACAGGAAGGTCCTGACGGAACTGCTCGCGAAGCTGGAGACGAACAGCGTGGATCCAAGGGATAAAGACATAAGGGACCTCCCCCTTACTGCGCATGGGGAAGACCGTGGTGTATCGACAGTAGTCATCAACAACTAGCAGGAAGTATCGCTCGCGGTCATGTCCACGGACGCGGACGGGGCCCCACACGTCCATATGGAGAGTCTGCAGGGGAGCAGTCGTCGGGGGAAACGAGGAGGAGTGAGGAGCGGCGCGCTGCCGCCCCTCGACGCAAGGAAGGCAGAACAGGGCAGGCGAGGACGGGAGGGGAGGCAGAGACCTGGGAAGACCAGAGACAAGGAAGCGAGATTGCTTGCCAAGGAGGCGTGGCAGGGAGGGGTGACCAAGGCGGTGATGCGAAAGGAGAGTCAGGTGCGTGCGGAGGCGACACGAACTGGGGGCTGCTACCTGACCTGACGCGGACACCTGACCTGACACAGCCACCGGAGTAGGCTCAGTAGTCAGTGTGTACAAAGTCGACCCAGGCCGACGTGTGAACGTGGCCAGGTGACGGCCCGTCCGTGTACACGTGCAAATCGCCACACGATGACCCCCAGAAGTGCCAGTAGTGACCATCGCATCCTGGAGGGCAGCGGTACTCACCAAGTTCGTAGAGAACGAGGGGAGGTGAAGACCTGACAGTGAGCCAGACGGAACCGCCGGACACGGGAGAACAGTGGAGGAGCGTGCAAGAACTGGCCCCCCTGAGGGATCAGCCAGAGAGACTGTGACTGTGGTACTGTCGCGAAAGAAACAGCGCGAAGCACCTGAGTCAAGCATGAAGGTGTGCAAGGCCTTAGCAGGCGCAGTACCAGAGAGAGCAGATGCACTAGCACCTAGAGCAGCAGCCTCTATACCGGCCTGTGTCAAGCGGCACATCAGCGGCACCCAGCGGTTCTTCATCACACTGACAGTTAAAGTATACATGGCAGCAAAGATAGCATCATAGTCAAGAGCAAAGATATCGACATCGTTCCTAAGCAGCTCTAACCAGCGGGGGAGCTCAGCCTCGTCGCCAAACTCTGCGCGCCAGGCGTCGCCAAGATGGGAGAAGCAGCGGTACTGTGTATGACCAACCTTCTCGCATGGCTGACCAGCCTGATCACTTGTGAGAATGACGTACGGGTAGCGAACACTACCCCCAGGCGCCCCATGCTGAGCAAAGCACTCACGAAGTTGCTGGGGCGTAAGGGTCTTGCGCAGAGGCTGCTATTGCCTCTAGCCACCGCCAGAATCTCCCCTCTGAACGGCTCCACCACGACCGTCACCACTGTTGCCGCCACCACTCCCACTGCCGCCACCACCGCCGCCACCACCACCACCACCACCGCCGTCACCGACGCCTCCACTCCCACCACCACTCCCACCGCCACCACCGCCGCCACCGACGCCTCCACTCCCACCACCACTCCCACCGCCACCCCCACCGCCACCACCACCTCCACCACCGCCTCCACCGCTGCCACCTCCACCACTCTTGCCTCCCTTGCCCTTGCCGTTGCGGCGCCTCCCACTAGGAGCAGACGCAGCCCCGACCTCCTCAGCACGAAGGAAGTCAACAGCAGCAGCAGAAGCGACAGAGGGGGCAAGGGGGGAGGGGGAACACCCCTCAAAGAAGGGAGTGCGAGGAGTGCCACGAGAAGCACCTACAGCGACTATGCTAGTCTCAGCTGCAAGGAGGTGCTTCTCGAGCAGGTCGACAGTGAGGTCTGTGGGGTCAAGGGCGAGAAAGAAGGAGGTCCCTGACTGCGTGAAGAGAGTCAGGAATGCGGGTGACGAGGAAGTAAGGAGTGATGTACGTGGGGAAAGGGTTCTTGTCTAGAAACTCAGTTTTCAGCGCAGCCCGGTAGAGAGTGTCGCTAGTGCAAAGGTGGGTGATGAGGTCGGCGACTATGGGAAAGGCTGACAGCTCGGGAAAAAGGTAGGGCACTATAAGTCGGCCGAGAGCAGCAATGGCAGGGGAGGAGTAACGACGGTAAAAGGGAACCGACTCGTCGAACGTGACGTCCTGAGACGCAAAGACACGGCGCGAGGTGGGATGGTAAAACTGCCAACCAGGCGCGTCAGGGACAAAGCCAAGGAAGACACAGGGAACAGCGCGGGCGGAGAGCTTGTCCGCGGTGGTATCGTGGACAAAGGCACGAGCACCCCAGACCCGGAAACGCGACGCATCACCAACCTTCCCCATCCACAGCAGTGTGGGCGAGGTCTCCGGCAAGGAGACACGGGGCCAGAGGTTGAGCTGATGCGCGGCGTACCGGACCGCAAACGGCCACAGGAAATGGGGGGCAGCCGCATGGATCATGGAGGTACGAGCGACCTCCATGACTAAGCCAATGCGACGCTCAGCAACCCCATTCTGCTATGGAGAGGCCGGAAGCGTGAACGACTGGGTGATGCCGTGCTCCGCACAGTAGGCTGCCAAGAGGTCAGAGGAGAACTCACCACCTCTGTCAGAGTGCAGACGCAGGACAGGAAAATCCCGCCGGAACCGCTCGCGGAGCTGGAGACGAACAGCGCGGATCCAAGGGATCAAAACATCAGGGACGTCCCCCTTGCTCTGCAAGGGGAAGACCGTGGTGTAATGCGTGTAGTCGTCGACGACCAGCAGGAAGTACCGCTCGCGGCCCTGTCCCTGGACGCGGGCTGGGCCCCACACATCCAGGTGGAGCGTCTGCAGGGGAGCCTCTGTGGGAGGAAACGAGGAGGAGTGAGGAGCGGCGCGCTGCCGCCCCTCGACGCAAGGAATGCAGGGCGGCGCAGGCGAGGGAGGGAGGGCAGGCAGAGACCTGGGAAGACCAGAGACCAGGGAGCGAGAGTGCATGCGACGCAGGCGAGGCAAGGAGGGGTGACCAAGACGGTGGTGCCACAGGAGAGTGTCGTGCGACAAAGCGCGACACTCGCAGGGGGCCGCCAGCTGACCAGACGTAGACGCAGACGCAGCTACCTGAGGGGACTCAGTGGTCAGTGTGTACAGACTCGAGCCAGGTGCACGGGTGAACGTGGCCAAGTGCCGGCCCGTCCTAGCACACGTACAGTGAGTCACTCGCTGACTCGCAGGAGTGAACTGGTCAACCTCCCGATCCTGGAGGTCAGCTCCACTCACCAAGTTCGTAGAGAACGAGGGGAGGTAAAGACCTGACAGCGAGCCAGACGGGACGGCCGGACACGGCAGAACCGTGGAGTAGTGGGCAAGGACTGGACCCCCGGAGGGGTCCGCCAGGGAGACTGGAACTGGCCGACGAAGCGGCGTGAGTGTGGTGCAGTCGCGAAAGAAGGAGCGAGAAGCTCCTGAGTCAAGGGTGAAGGTGTGCGAGACCGTAGTTGGCGCAGTACCAGAGAGAGCAGACTCACCAGCACCTGAAGCCACGGCCTCACCAGTACCTAGAGCAGTAGACGTACTAGCACCGAGAGCAGCAGCCTCACCAGCACCTAGAGCAGGAGACGCACTAGCACCTAGAGCAGCAGCCTCACCAGGGTCAGGCGGTACGCACAGAGAACAGGCACGATCAGCACTAGTAGGCAATGCATACATGGCAGTGAGAATAACATCATAGTCACGCGCAAAGATATCTACCCTCTGTCCATGCAGCTCCAGCCAGGTGGGGAGCTCAGCCTCGTCGCCAAACACTGTGCGCCAGTCGTCGCTCAGACGAGCGAAGCAGCGGGACTGTGTGTGACCAAGCGTCCCACAAGGCTGACCAGTCCTAGCACCTGTGCGAATGACGTACGAGCAGCGAACTGTACGTGTAGACCTGCTACACTGAGCGTACCACTCCTGGAGCTGCCGGGGCGTAAGTGTCTCACGTGGACGCCCCTGCAGCTGTAGCTGGCCACTGCCAGACGCTCCCAACTGACCAGCTCCAGGGCGACAGCTACGACGGCTACTGCGACAACCCCAGCTAGTATACCACTCACTAAGCTGCTGGGGCGTTAGGGACTCGCGTGAACGTCGCTGGAGCTGCATCTGGCCACCTGCCAGTAGCAGTAGCAGCAGCAGTAGCGCGGGCAAGGCAGGCGCGGCAGGCAGGCAGGCAAGCAGGCAGGCAGGTAGGCAGGCAGGCCGGCAGGCAGGCAGGCAGCCAGGCAGGCAGGCAGGCAGGCAGACAGGCAGGCAGGCAGGCAGGCAAGCAGATAGACAGGCAGGCCGGCAGGCAGGCAGGCAGGCCGGCAGGCAGGCAGGCAGTCGCGCAGGCAGGCAGGCCGGCAGGCAGGCAGGCAGCCAGGCCGGCAGGCAGGCAGGCAGACAGGCAGGCCGTCAGGCAGGCAGGCAGGTGCTCACCAGGCGAGCAGGGCCGGCGCTCGACGGGCGGCGGCCGAGTAGGCGCACGACAGCGGCGGCGTCGGGGCCGCAAAACCGGCTGCAGAGCAGGGCCGAAGCAGCTGCAGGGCGGGGCCGCTTCAGCGGCAGTAGCAGGGTGGGGCCGCGTCAGCGGCAGGTCGGGGCCGTGGCAGCTGCAGAGCGGGGCCGCATCAGCGGCAGGTCGGGGCCGTGGTAGCTGCAGGGCGGGGCCGCATCGGCGACAGGTCGTGGCCGAGGCAGAGGGTCGCGCGCGGCTCGGCGCGGGCTGCGCTGACAGCGCGTGGAGCTGCTGCAGGCCGCGCGCGGCCGCGCTAGGCAGTAGCGGGCCGCGCGCGGCTCGGCGCGGGCTGTTGCGGGCCGCGCGCGGGCCGCGCGAGGCAGTAGCAGGCCGCGCGCGGCTCGGCGCGGGCTGCTGCGGGCCGCGCGCGGGCCTCGCGAGGCCGTAGCAGGCCGCGCGCGGCTCGACGCGGGCTGCGCGCGGCAGCTGCGGGCTGCGCGCGGCTGCAGCGGGCTGTGCGCGGCTCGGTGCGGGCTGCGCGCGGCTGCAGCGGGCTGTGCGCGGCTCGGCGCGGGCTGCGTGGGCTCTGTGCGGGCTGCGCGCGGCTGCAGCGGGCTGCGCGCGGCTCGGCGCGGGCTGCGCGGGCTCTGTGCGGGCTGCGCGCGGCTGCAGCAGGCTGCGCGGGCCTTACGGGCCTCTAGGGGCGGCGCGTGGGCCTTACGGGCCTCTAGGGGCAGCGCGCTGGCCTAGGGCAGTAGGAGGCAGCGCTAGGGCTGCTGGACGGCGCACATAGTGCAGCACGTCACAAGGCAAGGCAAGGCAAGGCAGGCAGGTACGTGGGGTAGCGCGGTAACCGCAGCGGTAGGTGGGCCCGAAAAAAAACGGTCCTACGGACCTTAGTGCTCTGAAACCATGTTAGAATCTAGCAGCAGGAATGAATGAACTAACAGGATGCAGGAGTACAAGTAGTAAACCCTAATTGGGTTGTACCCCATATGGGCTACCCCACTACAGCCTAGACAATATGCAGCACATATAGTTTGACACCACTGTGAGCGAGTCACACTGTCAGCTGTATCAGGAGGAGCGAGAGAGGTCCTAGACGTGTGGTCAAACAGGGAGACGTCGTCCCTAGGCTCGCTTCGTTTTTCCAGCAGTAAGTCATCTAGCCAGGTCTCAAACTGGATCGGATGGCCCTTGAAATCGAAGGTGAGAATACTAAGAGAAGCCATAGCGGGCAGAGCAGGGTGGCGTGTGACCAGCAGGGCAGCACGCAGGCAAGGCAGAGCGGCGTGCAGGCAGCAGGACGGCGGGACGGGCAGGGCGGCGCGCGGGCACTAGGGAAGCGCGCAGGGCAGGGCGGGGCGGCGCACGGCCAGGGAAGGGTGGCGCACGGCCAGTGCAGGGCGGCGCATAGCAGGACAGGGCGGCGCGCTGTCACAGGGGCGACGCGACAGGCCGGGCAGGGCGACACGCGGGCACTAGGGTGATGCGACGGGCAGGGGAGGGCGGGCGTGGCCAGCAGAGCGACGCGACGGGCAGGGCAGGGCATCGCGCGGCCAGCAAGGCGACGGGCAGGGAGGGCGGCGCGGCAGCGCGACGGTCAGGGTAGGGCGCTACGGACAGGGTAACGCGCTACGGACAGGGAACTATTCGGTGGGCCCTAAAAGAAAAACAGTCCTGGAACAGGACCTGCTATGAAATTATGTCAGAATACTGAACGAGAATGGATGCATTGAGATCAAACCTGTGTACAAGTACTAACCCTAATTGAGTTGTACGTCTTATGGGCTACCCCACTACAGCCTACACAACAAGGGCATTGTGATAATTTGACATTGTTTTCATTGACATATGTGTGGTCTATTGAATTCGGCCAAAAACCGTATTCGAGGATCTTACACGCCCCTAGCGCGCTTCGACGATGCCAAATACGGTACGTGGTACAAGCAGCTTCGCTTTCACAACATACAATTTCGAGGAACACTACTACTTGTGTTTATAAAGTTATAAGAATTTAAAGCACCCAGTGGGTGTTACGATTTTGACCCATACATGCACCCCCCTAGGGGGGACGGGGGAGAGGGGGTGGGGGTATTTATCCTATGGAGGGAATATGGTAAGTACTGACGGCACAATTACCACCATGAATTGGACCGTATGTCATTGGTTTCCCACCCCAGCAGTCATCGTAGGCGGTTGACCTACACCCGATCTCTAGGTGCATTGCTGCACGTGCTCATCCCCGAAGCGCAGCAGACATAAGAAATGCTTGCTTTCTTGCTGCCAGCCTTCGCTCCAAGTCCTCCATTGACTCCCTAACCACCATCGCCATTGCCCTGCTACCCCCTTCCTCCTCCCACCACACTGCCATCTCCTCTCGAGCCCTCTTCGCCTCCTCCCCCTCCTCTTCCTCCTCCCCATCCCGCTTTCTCTTTAACCCGGAAAGCACGTCTTCCAACCCCTCATCCCCACCAACACCCAACTCTTCATAAAGATCATCACCCAGCCCTTCCTGATCACCACCACTGCCCAGCACTGCACCACCCTCCTGACGCTTCTCACGCTCTGCCTCCCCTGCACGCACATCCGCCCCTACCTCTCCCTTGCCAGCCCCAAACACGCGCTGGTTTGACTGGTCGAGCATCTTGGCTGAAGTGGTTGTGACCTCGTGAATCCACGCACAGCTCTGCAGGATGCGTGTGCTGCACTGGGGAGCCACGTGTGCTATGTAGAGCTCTGCCATTGCCCTGCGCTCCTGCTCCCCTGCATTCCACTTGGCTTCCTCCAGCTGCACTTCCTTCCCACGCTCTGCCTGCTGCTGCTGCCGCTGCTGTGCCTGCTGTGGCTGTTGCAGCGCCTGCTGCACTTGCTGCTGCCGTGGCTGCTGCTGTAAGTGATGGGACTGGTCTGCCTGATTAGTATGCCTGTCTGCACCTGTGGCAGCACCACTGGCAGGACCACTTGCAGCAGCAGTGAGAGCAGGAGTGTCAGCATCATCATCTGTATCAGCATCCAATCCAACGGCATACCGTGTTGTCTGAGCAGCAGCACCAGTCCTTGCAGGTGACACAACCCTGGAAGGAGAGACAGCCCTGGACTTGTATCCTCCACGTGAAGACCCCTTGCCCTGCCTTCCCCTCTTCCCCCTCCCACTTCCCCTGCTCGACGTGCCCACCTGAACTTCACCATCGTCTGCAGCACCAGCAACAACAGTGTCAGCACGAGCCAACAACTCCCCATGGCTCCCTTCCTCCCATTCTTCCTCCTGCACGTCCTCCCGATCTGCACCCTTCCGCTTCCGCTTCCCCGTCCCCTTCACCCTACCTCTTCCACCCTCCCTGCTCAATGCGCCCACCTGCACTTCACCATCCTTTGCAGCAGCAGCCGCAGCGCCAGCACGAGCCAAAAACTCTCCACGGCTCCGTTCCTCTCCTTCATTCACCGAATCCCCTTCCCGTACGTCCTCCTGCTCTGCACCCTGCCGCTTCCACTCCCCTGTCCCCCTCCCCCTCCCCCTCCCTCTCCCCCTCCCGTTCCGTCCGCCCCTTTCTGCCCTCTCTCCAGCAACCTTGGCCTTGGCAATCTTCCTTCTCTCCACCCTTGTTGCAACCGTCACTGTATCCTCCTCCTCGTCGTCCTCCCCTCTCTTCTCCCCATCCTCCTCCCCCTCACCCCCCTCCTCATCCTCCAGAAAATCCCCATGCCAGTCAGATACAAGCACATCCGCACACTCATCCCTGCCCTCCCTCCCACTCAGCACCCCCTCCCTGCCTTCCTCCTCCGTGCCTGCGCCCCCCTCGCCGCCCTTCACTCGTGCACCAGAGCCGTCTGCTGCAGATGCCTTGGCAGGGCGGCTCTTGGGAGGCGCAGGTCCGCGGAGAGGCATGGACATGGGCACAAGGCCTGCATGGGGGGTGCAAGGACAGGGGGACGGCATTTGAGACATCTTACAAGAGGCATGGACATGGGCATGGGTAGCGCGGGGTAAAGAGGGGTGGGAGGGGGAGGAGGGGGGGAGAGGGAGGGGGGAAAGAAGCGAAGGGAGGCTATGCATTTGGCAGGTGAATGATTGATTGAAAAGAAAAAAAGTAGTGATGGTAATAACGCTCTCCCTCATGCCTCTCCTGCAAAGGCACCCATTTCTTCCTCTCTTCCCCATACCCTCTTCCCCCCCATAACCCCCTTTCCCCCTGCTTCTCCCCCTGCTCTCCCCACCTGCCACCATGTCCTCGGTCCTGTCTGTGGGCACAAGGCGCACCACCTTGCTCTTCCCCACTCCCTGCACCGCCTCCAACTGCCCATGGGCCAGGGGGAGGGGGAAGGGGAAGGGGAAGGGGAAGGGGAAGGGGAAGGGGAAGGGGGAGGGGTAGGGGGAGGGGAAGGGAACGGGGAGAGTGCACTAGGTTCAGTAACAGGATGGCGTGCATTGACCTGCGAGAAACGCCCTCAGAGCTCCCCAATCCAAGTGATGTGAATCTCATATCTGCCATTGCAGTGAGCTGAATAGCCAGTGCAGGCAGCAATGGTCCGTTCGTTGCTCTGCACTGCTACCCCTCACAGCCGTGCGTGCAATAGCCTGTACACACGAACAGCAGCAAAAGTGTTCGCTTGCGCAATCCGTGCAGGCACGTCAAATTCTCTACCTGACATCGATGGTACACCTTCTAGGTGAACGTTGGGTATCTGGGCGGAAGGGAAGCTGTTCCACCACATGGGGCTATGATGGTGCGAACAACGACGGTGATGATGGTGATAGTGCGACGGAGATAGAAATGACCAGACAGGGGTGCATCACACAACCCACAGCTCGGTCACTTTGTTGGCACTAGGCACAGCACGTACCATGTAGCCCTGGCACATGAGCAGCAGGATGAGATGATTTGATTCTAGAGTTGACTCAAAAATAGGCTCGGTCACTTGGCAGTAAGCACAGCACACACGTACCATGTAGCCCTGGCACATGAGCAGCAGGATGAGATGATTTGATTCTAGAGTTGACTCAAAAATAGGCTCGGTCACTTGGCAGTAAGCACAGCACGCACGTACCATGTAGCCCTGGCACATGAGCAGCAGGATGAGATGATTTGATTCTGGAGTTGACTCAAAAATAGGCTCGGTCACTTGGCAGTAAGCACAGCACGCACGTACCATGTAGCCCTGGCACACGAGCAGCAGAATGAGATGCTGCACCGCCGCACGAGACAGCGGCTTCACTGCCACAGCTGGTGCGGGTGCGGGTGCGGGTGCTTGGGGGGCAACAGTGGCTGTGGCAGGAGTGGCAGGAGCAGGAGTGGCAGGAGCAGGAGTGGCAGGAGCAGGAGTGGCAGGAGCAGGAGTGGCAGGAGCAGGAGTGGCAGGAGCAGGAGTGGCAGGGGCGGCTGGAGTGGCAGTGGCGGCAACAGTGGGAGAAGAGAGAGTAACAGGTGTAGGGAGAGGGGTGTGTGGGAGGGGTTGTGCGGTTTCACTGAGGGCGGTGGAGGCAGTGGAAGCATGGGAGAAGGAATCAGCAGCGGCGGAAGATGGAGGGGTTGCAAGAGCAGCGTCAGGCGAGAGGGTTTCCCCGACAGCACTGCTGCCTGCAGGCGCGGCTGTCACAGTGGCACCAGTGGTCACAGCAGCACCGGCAGAACCAGCAGCAACAGCAGCACCACTGGTATCAGCAGCACCAGCAGCAGCTGTGGTAACAGCAGCACTGCCGGTGGAAGCAGCAGCAGCGGTGACTGTGGCAGCAGCCGTGGAGTCAGAAGGCGTAGCAGCAGCAGCAGCAGCAGCAGCAGCAGCAGCAGCGGTGGTGACAGCAGGCGTTGCGGCGTCTTGACCTCGGGACAGTGCAGCCATTTGTGCTTGACTCATCAGTGCCGCCGCCTCTGCCCCACACATGCAGCCAAGGGAGAGTGGATGGGTGGAGAAGGCAGGGAGGGGTTGAGGGGGAAGGTAAATCAGGGGTGGGGAGAGATGGTTTAGAGGGTAGTGGGCTTGTGAGGGAGAAGGCTTGCAGGCAAGGCAGCATGAAAGTAGATGCAGGTGAGAAAGCACAGCGACAGGCCGGCAGAGGGTGAGGGGAGTTTGAAAGACACATGCAGAGAGACAGAACAAACGTGGCGCAGAAGGCCCCTCCCATACGAGCCTTGCATACAAAAGGAGATGCAGAGAGCGCATGGCAGGGAGTGAGTGCAGGGAACGGTAGCAGCAGCAACTGATGGTCTGAGTGCAGGCAGGCATGCAGTGATTGCATGCATGTAGATCAGCGTGTCAAGACAATGCACTGCAAGGATACCTCGCTGACTCCTCGCCCTCGTCTTGTGACTCCTCCCCCAGCCCTCTCCCACTATCTCCCTCCACCCCTCCCCACCCCCCTCCCCCTCCCCCCCCCCTTTCCCCCTCCCCAACCGCACCTGAGGCAGCACCGGAGCGGAAGATAAACTCATTGGCAAGCTGGGGGGCAGTGAGGTGCGGTGAGGGACGGTGAGGGGCGGTGAGGGGCGTTGGAGATGATGGTTCAGAACTCACCCGCGGCAGCGCCGGAGCGGAAGAACTCATTGGCGAGCTGATGGGCGGTGAGGGGCGTGGGTGAGTCCGGCAGGATGCGCGCCAGTAGCATGGCGTACGCTGGAAGGCGGACGGGAGAGAGAGGGGGGCGAAGGGTGGGGTAAAGGAAGGAGGGGAGGTAAAACGAGGGAAGCGGGCGTGAGGACAATGAGTTGGAAGGGGAAAGGGAGTGACGGGGGACTGGTGTAGGGGGGGGGAGTTTGTTGCTTGAGTTGAAACTTGAAAGGAGTTGGGAGGAGTTCAGAGGCAGCAGACTAGTAGGATAGGAGATAGCAAGTGACACACCCAGCTGCTCCTGATGCAGAACGTAGTTCAATCACCATTGCCGGAATTCGAACATAACAGTGCCAGAACACGGAATACAAAATTCCAGAATACGGAACATTAAGTTCCAGAACAGGGAGTACATCAGAGAGTTCCTGGGAAGCAGGTGAGAGCGAGTGAGAGCGAGTGAGAGCGAGTGAGAGCGAGTGAGAGCGAGTGAGGGAGAGAGATAAAGAGTGAGGAAGAGAGAGTGAGAGTGAGGGAGAGCGAGTGAGAGCGAGTGAGAGCGAGTGAGAGCGAGTGAGAGCGAGTGAGAGCGAGTGAGAGCGAGTGAGGGAGAGAGATAAAGAGTGAGGGAGAGCGAGTGAGAGCGAGTGAGAGCGAGTGAGAGCGAGTGAGAGCGAGTGAGAGCGAGTGAGAGCGAGTGAGAGCGAGTGAGAGCGAGTGAGAGCGAGTGAGAGCGAGTGAGAGCGAGTGAGAGCGAGTGAGAGCGAGTGAGAGCGAGTGAGAGCGAGTGAGAGCGAGTGAGAGCGAGTGAGGGAGAGAGATAAAGAGTGAGGAAGAGAGGGTGAGAGTGAGGGAGAGCGAGTGAGAGCGAGAGAGAGTGAGTGAGAGCGAGGGAGAGCGAGTGAGAGCGAGGGAGAGCGAGTGAGAGCTAGTGAGAGCGAGTGAGAGTGAGGGAGAGCGAGGGAGAGCGAGGGAGAGCGAGGGAGAGCGAGTGAGAGCGAGTGAGAGCGAGTGAGAGCGAGTGAGAGCGAGTGAGAGCGAGTGAGAGCGAGTGAGAGCGAGTGAGAGCGAGTGAGAGCGAGTGAGAGCGAGTGAGAGCGAGTGAGAGCGAGTGAGAGCGAGTGAGAGCGAGTGAGAGCGAGTGAGAGCGAGCGAGAGTGAGTCGGAGCGAGTGAGAGCGGGTGAGGTGAGAGCGAGTGAGAGCGAGTGAGAGTGAAGGAGAGCGAGTGAGAGCGGGTGAGAGTGAGGGAGAGCAGAGAGAAGAGAAGCAGAAGCTCTCTTTGCGAGTGCAAGAGCAGAGATCTTACGAGTAACGTCCTTTTCTTCAAAGCCCCTCGAGTTGCAGCAATTGTCACAGAAGCCTGCAGCGGATGGCCCATCCCATGGGGTCGTCCGTTACAAGATGCAACACATGGATGGATGGAGCAGAGCACGATTTCATGAACAGTCACGACAGGTTCAGCAATAATGGTTAACAAGATAGCGAGATGAGACCCGTACGCCACGGGTACACAGCGCCAACGGCAGAACGATGGGCTACTCAACAAGCAGAAAGTAGCAGGGCACACACAGAGAGACAACCGGATCAGAACTTCTTACAGTTGAGCAAATCATGCTTGATAAGAATTCTCTCCCACCGGTCCTGAATCCCCAACCCAACCCATTCCCCCAAACGAACTCAGCCCACTATCCCCCCAGCCCAGCCCATCTCCCCCCCAACCCAATCCAGCCCAACCCCCCAACCCAACCCAGCCCATCCCCCCAACCCATCTCCCAACAGGCCAGCATGCCTGTGTGCAGGCTAGCCCAGCACGTACGTACCCCCACAGGGTTGCTCATCCGGGGAGTCAAGGTCAAAGTGGCGCAGCAGCAGCTTGTGCCGACACACACTGCGATTCTGATGCCCCGCACACACACAAATGAGAGGCAGGCAGGGGGGGTGGAGGAGAAGAGTAGGGGGAGTAGGGAGAAACGGAAGGGTGGTGATGAGAAACGTGATCGCAGCGACAAGGCCTTGACGGGGACAGGAGGCCTTGACGGGGACAGGAGGCCTTGACGGGGACAGGAGGCCTTGACGGGGACAGGAGGCCTTGACGGGACGGAGGGATGCAGGGGAAGGAGACAAATGGTTGGTAATTCAGGTGGGAGATGGGCAGGCAGGCAAAACGTGAGGACAAAACGAGGATGTGGATGGAGGGTGGGCAGTGGTGCAGGAGAGAGTAATGTCGAAGTGGTATAGGCTGCAACCATGCACATATGTATTAGCCAATCAACACCGTCCAACATTCATCACTGTGCATGAACCATGCAATAGCACAGCATACCATGCAATAGCACAGCATACCATGCAATACCACAGCATACCATGCAATAGCACAGCATACCATGCAATACCACAGCATACCATGCAATAGCACAGCATACCATGCAATAGCACAGCATACCATGCAATAGCATAGCAGACCATGCAATAGCTCAGCATACCATGCAATAGCACAGCATACCATGCAATAGCATAGCAGACCATGCAATAGCACAGCATACCATGCAACACCACAGCATACCATGCAATAGCATAGCAGACCATGCAATCGCATAGCATACCATGCAATACCACAGCATACCATGCAATAGCACAGCATACCATGCAATAGCACAGCATACCATGCAATAGCACAGCATAGCGAGCAATAGCACAGCATAGCATGCAATAGCACAGCATACCATGCAACACCACAGCATACCATGCAATAGCACAGCATACCATGCAACACCACAGCAGACCATGCAATAGCACAGCATACCATGCAATTGCATAGCATACCATGTGTGACTGAGTCAAGGTGATGGTGCGCCGTGCTCTGTCCCGGGTGATCCGCAAGCCAAG